GGGGGGGGAGAGGGGTCTCGAGTAACAATCATTATATGCATGTCTCTTTTCTTTTTTTTCTTTTTTCTTTTTTTCTTTTTTCTTTTCTTTTAAAGAAGTCCAGGTAGTAGTAGAGGTCAGATGCTAGGCCTCGGGAGACACCTGTAGTACTCAGCCATGGGAGGATCCAATGGGTCGCGAACTCACTGGGGATTGTCTTTCCCCGGGAATATAATTTTTCCCTAGTCTAATATCATTGTGGATCGCAAGTCGAACCCTACAGCAGTGTACCCTAGCCAACCCCTAAGCCCAAGCAAAGACTGCACTTACCTGCAACCCTTCTGGGGAGGTCATGACAGGGACATCTCTGAGGACCAACCCTGCTATATCCACTGGGTACCGCCTAAGTATGTGACCCAGCCCCCCTTCTACCGATAGTTGACACTCCTAGCCAGAGACTCTCCAAAGGAAATTTTTTTTTTTGTAACCCAGCTGAACCCTCAATGGGAATTTCCACAGATACCATCCCGGATGACGTGCAGCCCTTAGGCGTCGTAAGATATAAGAGAAGGGGGAAGCCCCCCTCAGGAATCAGATATGTCTAACACCCAGTCCCTACTACTACTCAAGCTGGTGCATAGAGAGATGGCCCACACCCCTCGGCCGCAGAATCATGTCTGGATGGACTATCGTGAGTGTACCAGAGGGACGGGAAACTAAGTAACAGTACCCAAACTCCCCAGAGGACAAGCACAGACAAGGGCATACCGACGAAGCTGACGGGGCTTCTATCCGTACGCGGGGTATCTACTGTCCATCCACGTTTGTTAAGGGCCAAGGGCCCTGTCTACAGCTACACCTAGCAAGTCCTGTCTCTTATACACATCTAGATGTGTATAAGAGACAGGTCCTAGCTCACTAGCCTTGACCCAGACATGTTCCCCTACCTGAAATGTGGACTGTCGGCGATGTTTGTTCTCAGAAGCAATCATTGCTTCTTGAGATTTCTTAATGTGCTCGACAGCCTGCTGCAACAACTTCTCATACTGGACACCAAATTATATAGTTCCAGGAGTTGCAGCAGATCCGTT